GCTGCTTTGATTAATAAAGCAAAACTTTTCGGCAACATTTCATGAATAAGCTAGCCTTGATCTACAAGAAAAGTTTCCCTTTATTACAATGCATATGTGCAGATCTTCAGATAACGATTGATTTTGCATTTCCGCATTATTCGATGTTTTTCGCAGGTCAACGACCCTCTTTGATGGATTGGGTAGCGCCCACGCCCTACAAATTGCTGCTTTTAAAGCGAAGGGTGTAAATAAGACATACATTCCAGCTTTGAAATTAAGGATCATCCCTTTTCTCAGATGTCTCTTTATGTTCTTAGGAACTGGATCTTATTCATAATTCGGTGTTTTCGAGGCCGCTTAACTTTGACGGTCAATTCTGTTTAAGAGAAGATATTTTTCGTGGAATCTCGAGTGCGAGTTTTTGACATCAAACAAGTTTAAACCTTTAGAATTTCTCTATACAAAATTTCTAAAGCACAAAACTTGGCGCATTGGGATAATTTAGGGTGACGATTTCGGATATGGCCTTCAAAAATCTTAAATTATAGCGAAGCCCAGTTTAGACTCGAAGAATAGGCTTTGTCTATCCTTTTATCCAAACTGAGGTCAGACTTAAACTTTACAGACCTGCTCCACCCAAGGAAGGGTTCCGAAAATTCTCTAGAATTTCTAAGAGTTCCTCAATACAAAAATTACATTATCATCCCTAGTGGAAACAAACAATTTGGGACACTGATTTCGAACATAATAACAATATTCTTCAAATTTTGGAATATCTCTAAGCCTGATTCGGAGTAGAAAAATGCATCACATTACTTCACTTTCCTGTGATTTATGAATAAACGGAACAGCTGACATAAAACATTAAATAACTTCTATTTAGATAAAGTGAAATCCAATATCAGTAATAAAAAATTATTGTCACATCGTCCGTGAACGAACAACGACTGAAGAGAGAGGCAAATATTCTACGGTGATAATATGTTGTATCGGAATATTTAGAAAAAACGTCGATGGTAGTTTCAAATGCATTCGCTTAAAAAGGTTTTATGACAGGATTGAAAATACCTCAGTGACACCTTATTGTGCAACCTCACTTTTTCAACTAAGTTGGCTTAACTTAGAAGTTAAGGCCGAAATTTGATTTTTAAGTCAGTTATTAAGAGCATCTTGAAATGGTCAAAAATTTCTCATAGGGCGTAATTATAAGAGATATTCGATACTAATATATTGGAAAATAGTCTGTACAGGGTGGTCCTTAATGATATCCGATTATTTAAGGATGTGAATCTACATGAAAAACTAATGTTAGTTTGCTCTACAAACTATGGTCCAAAAATGTTTCCTTACAAAAACTCGGGGTGTTGAAGTTTTAGAAAAAAAATGGAAATTAATAATAATTTTCTGAACCGCTTCAGATATTTTACTGATATTTAGTACGTAGAGAAAGTTAATAAAGCTACATATTTTTCAATACAAAAATAATTTTTAGCTTTAACAGTGGAGTGCGTACGACATTTTTTAAGACAAAAATGGTACACCAATGGTTTTTTGCCAAATAAAAATTATTTTTGAATTCCCTGTTCAATTCAAAACATATGATCTCTCTTAAATTGTTTTCCTTCGATGCGCCATTTTTGAGTAAAACAATAAATGTCCGAGCACATTAATGTAATAATTGAAGAATGCAATTTAGCAATAAATATCTACTTGCTCTGGAATATGTCACTAGCTTTTGACATCTGGCAAGTCTCTGTTATTCAAATCTGTTCGCTGTGACATCTTTTTCATTATTTAGTTTTTACAATCTTGTTATTAATGGTGAATTAATTATTCAAATGCAGAAATGGCGGAAATGCATTACGTATATGGCCTTTCCGATCGTGCTTTGCCAGATAGTCAGAACTTTTCTGTTATTCATCGTCGTCTTGTTGAAACTGGTTCTATCCGAAAAGGAACATCTGAAGGTAGACCTGTAAGTGTGAGAACACCTGAAATTGAGGAAGCAGTGCTGCACGAAGTCGAAGAACATCCTGAAACGAGTACGAGGAAGATTGCTGGACACTTAAATATTTCCCATCAAATCGTTTGAAGAATTTTACTGAATTTTTTGTTATATCCTTACCATATTTTAAGAGTACAGATATTACTTCCCATCGATTTTCCAAGGGGCGTGACCTTTTGTCAGGGGTAGCTTCAAAAAGTTACACAAAATCCGCAATTTGAATCAATGATTCTGTTCAAGGACCAAGCTAATTTTTCTCGAAATGTAATTCAGAATTTCCACAATAATCATTTGTGGGCAGAAGAAAATCCATATGCTGTAACCGAAACCCATTTCCAACACCAAGTTTCGGTTAACTTATGGGCAGGAGTTATTGGCAACCACTTTATTGGTCCATTCTTCTTGCCGGGACGACAATTTTCTTCAACAACAGTTGCCTTTGCTGCTCGATGGTGTTTGTAATTATTTACAAACTGTTTATTCAAATCTTTGGATTGGCCGCGGTGAGCCTCAAGAATGGCCACCAAGGTCCCACAGTTTAGATTTCTTCTAGTGTACACAAGTCCCATTAGCACTGTAGAGGAATTGAAAAAAGAATAGTTGCAGCTTGTGATAGAATAAAAAACACTCCAGGGATATTTCAACGAGTGCACAATTCCATGAGAAGGAGGGCGGAAGTGATAGGGCCATTTTCAACAATTTTTGTAATCATTTCGTTGGTTTTAATGTCATGTTTATGTTGTCAGTTTTTGTTGTTCCTTACCCCTAATGTGTTTAACTTTTGCAATTAAATTAATAATAATTTTGAAAATTAGATAATAGAACGGTTTTTATGATTTACTCAAAAATGGCGCATCGAAAAAAACAATTCAAGAGGGATCATTTGTTTTAAATTGAACCTGAAGTTCAAAAATAATTTTTATTTGGCAAAAAACCATTGGCGTATTATTTTTTTCTTAAAAAAATTTCGAAGTCAATACCGGTACGCACGCCACTGTTAAAGCTGAAAATTATTTTACATTGAGAAATATGCACCTTTATTAACTTTTACTATGTACTAAATATCAGTGAAATATCTGAAGCGGTTCTGAAAATATTAATTAATTTCCATTTTTTTCCTAAAACTTTAACGCCCCGAGTTTTTGTAAGGAAACATTTTTGGACCATAGTTTATAAAGCAAACTAACATCAATTTTCCATGTAGTTTCACACCCTTAAATATTCGCATATAATTAAGGAACACCCTGTATAGTTTCAAATCTGTACATCAGAGCCACACTAGGTTCAAATAAGTAGCTTTGAGATAATTGTAGTTGAAATATTTTTCTTACATTGCATTTATGCGACTTGACATGATTTTAAAAGTCGAAACTTCCTTATTATTACAGTTAGATGGACACTGCATGTAGCAAGCGGGAAGTTTTGATAATGTTGTTATTCCGTAACTATGCATAGTTGGCCATGGATTGTTTTTTGAAATTATCTGTTACTGTAAGCCTTTTAGTAATCGTGGAGCAGTCGTCTGGTGAGCAACGTGCATGTGTGTGAGTCATATTTCAAAAACACTAACTGTGTGGTTGCCGGTCAGTGATATTTCCGACTTTATTCCCAAATTGGTCGTCATGGCAGAGTTCCTTCGGCTCATGCTATAAGGGAATGGGTTCGTAAATTTGAACAAACAGGTTCAGCTGTCAATGTCAAACATGAGGAGCCAAAGAAAAGTGTACGAACGCCTGAAAATATCGATCTTGTAAGAACATCTCTGGAACATAGTCCAAAACGTTATACCCGAAAACGAGCGCAAGCGTTAAGAATTTGTAAGACATCTTTACTTCGATTTTTGCATAAAGTTCTCAATCTTCATCCATACAACATTTAAATTGACCAAGCACTGAAACCAACAGACATCCTGGCCCGTTTACGTTTTGCTGAAGCCCTGCTTGAGAATGAAATCGGTATACACAATCGGTGGATGACTGACGAAGCGCACTTCCATTTATGCGGCTATACTAACAAACCAAGTTGTCGTTATTGGAGTTCAGTAAATCCACAGGAGCTCCAAGAACAACCTTTACACAGCCCAAAAGTGACGGTATATTGTGTGATGTCTTCAGTGGGAATTGTAGGGCCCTACTTTTTTGAAGACGAGAATGATAATGCTATTTCCATTAACTCTGTGCGTTATACCGATATGATAAACCAGTTTTTGAGTCACCGCTGGGCAGAGTTCCACATAACAATCAAACATGGTTCCAGCAGGATAGTGCTACTTCACATACCACGAGAGCGTCATTGAGTTCCTTGCAAAGATTTTTTCCACAACATGTTATTTCCAAGACAAGGAGACAATCACCGGCCGCCAAGGTCGCCAGACCTAACGGCTTGCGATTACTTTTTATGGGGCTACCTAAATCAAAATGTGTTCATTAATAAACCAAGAACCATTCAGGAGCTTAAACGAAACACTATTGAAGAAATTGCTAAGATTCCTGTGGATATGTTGCATCGTGTTATGGCCAATTTCCATGAAAGAATTCAAGAGTGCATTCAGAGAAGGGTAGGACACTTACGCGGTATTACTTTTAAGGAATAAAAATTGCATATTACTAGTTTGTTTATGTTATACTGTATTTTATTCAAATTAAATTGCCTTGAGAATCTTAAAGTATTTAAAACTTCCCTCTCCCGGGGACCACCTTGTATTATCATAAGCCTAACGTATTAAACTCATTTCTGACAAAATGGACTTAACCTAGTCTGAATCTGGGGTACTGAAATGAATTTATTAAAACAAGCAGCTTCAGTGTATGTAGAAATTACTTGTTACTGTTTTGGCCACCAAGATGTGTACGTCAGTAAAAAGCAATTTCTATAATATGTCCAGAAAACCATGACGTTCTATTGGCACGGAAACTAGATCCTGCGTGATGACCACACGTTCAAACCATCAATGTCCATTTTTGAAAAACTCTTTTCTCTCTTTTCTGTTTTGTGTCTTAACCTTTCAACTCACCTGTAATGCGTGGGCCTGATACTCCTCGGCAACCGTTCATCAACGTCATCCTCACTGATCCTCATCGCTCCTACTACGCTATCCACCGCTTTGGTCAGCGCCGATGGCGCCTCATCCCCTGCCGCGCATTCCCTTGGGGCCAAGAAGAACACCACCAAGCCCACCAAAAGGGCCAATAACAACGCACCGATAGCCATGAGTACGCAGAGTGGCCGTGATATTACGACGCTCTTGCTGGGTCGGCCACGGTTCACGGTGTACTTCTTCTGATTGGAGTTATTTTCTACCTCCGCCGAGGCGGGTATACCTGAAGAAAACATTGGCTATTAAGAGATGTGAAACTAGTTTTGCGCCTAAGTGGATCTATTTATTATATATTTCTGGAGATAAGTTCTGCGTCAACAGTCCAGCGTGTTAATAGGAAAACGTTAGGAAATTTTGCTTCGATTTACAGAAGAATGCTTGTATTCAGGACTATTGTAGATGGAGCTTAACTCAGCAGCGTGACATGGAAAAATTCCAAAGGTAGACCGTTAAAAAGACCAACTTCAATGCCTAGGCTTTAAACCAGCTTGGGAAAAGTGTGCATTGTAATTACAGTCAAGAGCAAATGATGCTTTACACTTAGTATGCCATTGAGTGCAATGGAAGCTCTGCTGGATCTCCCACCGTGAGATCTGGTGTGGAGTAGTCGCACATCGACTGTGGAGTCAGGGCAGCTGGGCCTTTTTGAATCTTGTCAAGGGCCACACTGCCATCTTAGTCGAACTGCGAAGGGAGGATCCTGTCGTTCTGAGTAGGAATGATCGGATCACCCCTAAATATCGCTTCAGTCGCAAGACTACGGATGCCGGAGGGTCTCTGAAGGTTGTCGGCAGGTCTGGTATACGGACGGCTAGGGCACTGAAGAGGGTTCTGGCGTAGTCTTTGCCTCTCGGTGGAGAGGCGGAATATCACTATTTTCAGGTGGATATCTTTGCACGATTGAAAGAATGAATGAAAGTTATGTACCAGTCTATAGAGAAGAAGATGCTGAACAAGGACTTTTGCCTCCACGTTCCTTTCTTATCAGTTTCAGTATTGTATTTCATTTGTTCTTTACTTTGGTTTGTATAATGCACTTTGCAGTCAGTCTCGATTCAGAACTCATTCAATTAACATCGTTGTATTTGGTTTTTCTCAAAAATAAATCTTTTTTAAAAACGTTTTCGTTGAAGAAAGATATTTGAGTGGCGCAGCCAGTAGGATAGCCAGACGAAAAAGGACATTTTCGGTTCGTTTCAACGGTTTGCTGGATATAACGAAACCAACCGCGATTGGTCGCGAACGATCCGACGGAATATCGATATCGTTACCGTGATCACCGGAACCAGATTTGGGATAGAACCCTGCCCAAATCGAGAAACCAAGAAGACAGCAGCCCAGAGGACAGAAGGAACATCTGCTCCAGGACAGGCAACCCAGCAGTGGCCCAGGCATACGGGCACATGGGAAGAATTGGATTACTACTGTAAGTACGAATGTCTTATAGGGGTGAAAACAATCAAGAGCTGTTTGATGATACATTGAGTGACACTGATTCGGACTCACAGTCGGATACGGAACATATTCAACATAGTTTAAGGAATTTGCAAATAAGACCTAGTATACTAAATAGTACAGTCAATATGAACAACAGTCAAGTAAATCAATCAAGCATGTCATTACGCCCAGAGTATCTTAACATGATAACCCGAATTTTATGGTCAACAAGAATTATTACCAAGATTCATAGATATTTGCGAAAAGTTAATGAATAAATTTTATAGATTAGAGGATGAAAAAGACTTCCAGAACGAATATCTTATGAGTAGTATTTTAGCGAAAATCAAAGGTAATGCAGCTTTAAATATTAGTAGCAATATTATAAAAAATTGGACAGACTTGAAAACTGCACTTTTAAATACATATCAAGACAAGCGTGACGTATTTACTCTAAATATAGAAATGTGTGAATTGAAACACAACAATGAAACCCCCTTTGAATTTTATAACAAAGTTCAGAGTTTATTGAATTTACAAATATCATTTTTAACTACACATTGTGTGAGTGAATAAGCTCAGATAATATGTAATTTTTGCAAAAGCGTAGCATTAAGACTATTTCTAAAAGGTTTAAAGGAACCTCTAGGATCGCTCATGAGGATGAAAAATCCTACAGACTTGAATGAAGCTCTGAATATATTAACTACCGACTTTCAGCTTGATCGTAAGGTAGATAAACATAAAAATGTTAATCGAAATAATATGCAAATTAGTTCGCCATATGAACAACAACTTTGGAATTATAGGAATCAATACCAAGCAGTACAGCGTCCAGTATTACAAAGACAATTTAGTCCCAATAATGTACGACCAAATAATCCTAATCAGAATAGAACGAATTTTCACAATAATAACGTTTTTAGACCTAATCAGATCAATAATTTGCCAAGGCCTACTCCGATGAGTACATCCACTAGGCAGACGTATCAGCAACCAAATTTTTAAGGCATAAATTTTAGGGGTAATACGATCACCCCTGCTTAGGAGGACTGCAATTCGATTAAGATGGCATTATGCCCCTTGATAGGATTCAAGAAGGCTCAGCTGCCCTGACTCCACAGTCGATGAGCTTCACCGCGAATCACCGGATCCAACGGTGGGAGATCCAACAGAGCTTCCATTGCACTCAATGGCGTTGTTCGCACTGCGCTTGTAATACTAATACAGGCCAAACGCTGGATTTTATTTAGTTTGGCCTTAGTTGTATCAGTTCTAATGCAAGGCCACCACACCAGATGGACGTACTATCGTCGTGTAGAGCCAGTATACCACTTTGGGTTTAAGCCCCCATCTTACCCCGACAACACGTCTACAAGCCCACATCGAATTGCGAGCCTTGCTAACCTTGTATTCAACATGCTCTCTCCAGTTCAGTTTGCAATAGAGTATAATTCCCAGATATTTCACTGACTGGGACAAAACTAATTTACATAGTTCCAAAGGAGGTCGGCATGACCACCCCGTCAAGCCTTCTTCTCCTAGTGAATAGGATCAGCTCGGTCTTTTCAGCATTAACAGAAAGATCGACTTCCCTACACCACGATTCCACGGAGCTCAGAGCGCCATGCATAATTTCCGAGACTGTTCTACAAAAACTGGATGGTCTAGCAGCGAGGCATCCGGTATCGTTAGAGTGGATGCCGGGGCATGCTGGGATAAAGGGTAATAATATCGCGGACGCTCTTGCGAAAGGCACGAGCTGCAAGCAAGATCGTTGGTCCTGAGCCAGCAAGCATCTCTAGGCATCTCCGTCGGGCTCATCCTAGAGCCCAGTGCTAAGTATAGACGCTTTTGCTTATCTTTGGATAGAGCCAACCTAAGGCTGCTGGTGCTACTGTTGTCCGCTGAGGCACCACCTGCATGTAATGGAGATGGCCGAGGATCTCTTGTGCGAGTGCTGCAGGGTAGAGGAAAAGACCTCGGCGCATGCTCTGTGTCGCTGTGAAGCTCTGAGCTACTACAGGCAGACAGCGCAAGTCATTATTTCAACAAGAACAACAGTAACAACAATCAAGTCTTTATACTTCCGCAGAGGCTGAAAAATGAATGTATAATATTAATAAAGTTATGCTTATGCTTCAATTTGCCAATGAAATAAATAAACATGACCTCATTGTAATCTGGCAAAATTTGTATGTTACATATTTTTACATAGGTAGGTGTATTTATATACAAAAAACTATATTACTCGTAGAAATATACAGTCTGTATAAATAGACGTTGAGATATAAAGCAGGTACCTAAATAAGAAAGCTCAAACCATCCAAATATTTTCTTGGGTTTGTGTTGATGGTTTAGATACTTCCGCATATTGTTGAAAATGTGGATGTCGTCAGGAATTTTGAGTACAAGATGGAAAGGTAATGTATCGTATCCTTAGTAGTGGTGGATGAATTTCCTTACAATCTCAAGATTACAGAGAAAAATAATTATTAGGTTGACCCCGATGATTCATTTTCCAGATAAATCAGGGTTATCGCTGTGGGATCTTTATGCATGATAACGTTGGAAATGAGGTAATTTGAATCGAAGTATCTTGAAAATGAAGCATCTGTACAAATGAATATTAAAGAGTCAAATTATTCTATGTGAGCAGCAAATATTGTAAATATGAATTTGGGAATGAAAAAGTGTGCAAATATGAATTTCATATGATTTAAATATAATCCTCCTTATAGAACTTGCATCACAAACTGCACTCAACGAAAATTAAGACAAATATCTATCGTAATATCTATTTTTACCACATTGATGATCAAATAGTGGTGTTCGGACATTTTCACTCTTGTTAAGCTAATGAGAACTTTATGAAGCAATATTATTTAATTCGTATAGTTTAAAAGTCGTAAATGCAATGGGGTTTACTAGCCTGGTTTGATCCAGCTCATTTAATGTTTGTTACAAAAGTGACGCCTAGAAACCCTTTCGTATAGTGTTGACTGGGTAACAAATAACAAGAACAGACAGACAATTCTGGAGTGCACCACTTTAACACATCTAATTACATGCTGTTTGTTACTGGTGATGTGGTGATATCTTTGAAGTACCCTAGGGACAAAGAAGTTCGATACGGCTAGGATGGGATGCCGAACTCAGGTGGGTCTCTCTGTCCGTTAGAAAATAGTAATCGATGAGGTGGATGGACCTAGTCTAAACAGCATCGATCATGGATAATGTAGGCAGCAGTACCCAAACATTTGAGCAGTATTCGAGGTTAGGTCTCATCAGGGCCTTGTACAAAGTGAGGAAGTTTTGAAGAGAAAAGTACTTCTTAGCCATAAACAGCCTAGCTGTATCTCAGCAGATGCTGCTATTGACAAGATGTGTTCGTGCCAGATTAAGTCCTCGGTGATAGAGTGCTGTCAAGCTGTCATCAAATAATCTGTGGATAGGATTGATCGTACAGGAAAGGAGGTTGTTGGTACATAAAAGAAGCAATGTCGGAGACAAGACCGATCCCTGGGGAATACCCGCGTTCACATTGTGGGATGAAGAGAAAAACACGTCAATTACGACGGATGGAGAGAAAGTCACCAACCATCTGTAAAGCTTCTCTGGGAAGCCATAAGAGGGTAGCATGGCACAGCTGATGTAACTCTTTCGTGATATAAGGAGCAACGACATGAGCTTCACCATAAGACTGGATAAGTTTACTCCACAGTTGTGTAACATAGTCTAGGAGGTAGATCACTGGTGCCGGAAACCGCACTGTCTGTCTCTAATCAAGCCGAGATGTTCAAGGTACTCCAGGGAACAAAAATTC